ATAGATATTGTTGTGGAAATGAAAGATCTTTAAGAGATTTAAAGACTTTATAAAATAGTGTTTAGAGCTTATTTAGTGGTCGTGTGTAAGTGGAGAAGAAAAAAGTGATATTTATAGGTTTGAGAGGGAAAACTTTGGTAGGGAAAACCTGACCAAGGTCGGTATTTATTTTATTTTTATTAATGATTTTGTGTTTATTTGTGGGTCATTCAAAAACTTAGTTTTGGTTATTCCCTTTGTTTGTTAAACAATTTCGTTTTTGTTTGTCCACATAACAAAAAACCTTGCCGAAAATCTACGGTTTTGATGTTAAGTTTGCAAGTTTGAACTTGCCTGAAGCAATTGCTATGGCAGCAACCTTGAACTGTGAGAGCAAATCTTTACTGTCAGATGGATCACCATAATTCTCAGACCAAGTTGCCATCCCAATTGCAAGAATGCACGCAGCCGCATCAAATGGGGCAACAGGACCAAGGGAAAAAGTGTCAACAAGAAGATTACCGAACAAACCAGAGAGTATAGCGACCAGACCATTCCCAAGAAAAACAGCCTTAGAGAATGTCAGTGACAGCCACTGTTGCTCAAAGTTCCTCTGCATAATTGTTCGGAAGAGAGAGAATTAATTTCTCCATCATCCAACATAGAGATTGCAAATGAATATTGACATGTTGTAGAAAAATCAAAGAATACTCCCAATATACGACGTCCATGAATAGTTAGCCATATTAACATTTTTGGATCAAATAGGCAATACAATCACCCGAATGATGAAGCTAAAGTCTGACCTTGTTGTGCTCTGCAATGAGCCATGATTCGAATGCTGAAAACAAGAGAGACGTAGAAATCCCACCGTAGATACGGCCAACCATCAGAACTCTGTACTGCCGAGAGTGCTTGGTGACACAGCTCAGTACGTAACACATGCCCTCTTTCGACCCCTGAATCCAGAACAGAAAATTCTCATCTGATTTAAAGAAAATGCAACTCACTGCTTATCAGCCAGAGATCCAACAATGGTTCCAAACAACATCGCGAACCAAAACCGGCAATGAATAGCTGTCCAATATCTCCTTTTCCAAAACCATAAGTACACTGTAAAGATAATACACATAAGGTCCTTGAAGCCAGTCTCCAGCTGTAACAAAATACACACACATATGTATCAGCTCTTAATGCATAAAAAAGAGCTCGTAAGAACTATATCATCCATGATTATGTCAGCTTCAGGATTCGATCTAGCACTCGAGGCACTCTCTATTCCAATTCTCCAATAACAAAGGACAAACAACCATAGATCAGAACCCGAAACAGTGACCGAAATGAAATTGCACGAAGAAATGGTGGTACCCATCATAATAGAGAAAATGAGGAGGTAATTGTTCTTAAAGGAATTGAAAGCAGAAGAGGTATTGATCCGATCCTCGTTCGTCTGCAACAACGATTGCCATGAGTAGAAAACCTCCATTGTTGCTTCTTTCTACCGCAGAGAAAAGAGAGAGAACGAAGAAGAAAAAATGCTTTCACTGATAACCAACCAAATTGTGGAGATCTGCCAAAATAACCGGTATAAACCGATAAATCAAAAAACGAACCTTAAACCGGCCGGTTTCGGTTCTAGGGTCGTCGTCATCATCTGACATTTTCCTCAAATCTCGTAATCTTAAAATAGATCAGTTGTTCGCTTTTGATAGATTAGATCGGGATAAACCCTTCGATTTTCATGGTTTTACAAGAACGATGAGAGGATCCGCACTACTTGATTTGATTATATTCCTTCTTGTATCTCCATTAGCGCAAAGTCTCAAGGGATCTGAAATCTCCAAATTCTCTGAGAAACCTGTTTCCAATCAAATCTCCCAACCCGTTCGGTTTGTGTCTTTATCCGATTCGGTTAAATTGATCGAGATCATATGCTTTTGTTTGACTTCATTCTCTTCTAATTTGAATTTTCTATTGGGAGCAATGAGACAAAGAAAGGGTTTTTTGTTTGAATGTCAGATTTTGTCTATGTACTGATCTGATGTAACATTTTTTCAGTGATTCCCATCTAAAAAGTTGAAATTTTGTTCAAGTTTAGTGTTTTAGGTTTCTGGATTATGTATGATCTACGTCTTTTTGAATTTGTTCTAACAAGTGGTTAATGATTGTGATTTCTTCAGAGAATCTAGTTATGTGTTGGTTTCTACGATTGATGGAACGATATCACTGGTTGATACGTCCTCGAAAATGATGAACTGGACATTCCATACCAAAGAGCCCATATACTCATCATACAAGGCTCCTCATTATCATTATACCGAGGGTGAGGAAAGTGCCCCTTTGATTGGTGATGACTTTTACATGGATTGTGATAAGGATTGGAATCTTTACAATACCTCTATGCAACAAGGAAAACTCATAAATCAGGTTATCACTTGAACCTTTTTTTCATTTCTCTGTTTATCGAGTCTAAGGCTGTCTCTCATATGATATTGAATTCGCTTCTTAAGATACGTTTATTGGTTTTTAGACACAAAAGAGTTAAGAAACATTTTAACTTGGAAGTCTTAGATATCATGTATGAGTCTTTTAGATTGTCAAGTACCTTTTTATGCACTTGTTTCTCACCAAAGTCGTATTATATGGAAGTGTGTATCTTTTTGTCATTCAGATAGTGAATGCTTCGGAGTTTTTTCGAGAATTGCCCTACTCATTGGCGGATAGGATTGTTTTGGGTAAAATAGACACATCTGTATTTCACTTGGATTGGAAGACTGGAAAATTGCTTAAGAGGTACAGACTGGACGACCTCTATACTAATTCAGTCGTTCCAGATGCTAAAGAAAAGGCTATTGTTTTGTCTAAAAAAGCTCCGATACTATTGGGATCCGAGTTTAAGGAATCAGAAGATCTTCCTGAGCTGGTTCAAATTCAGAGAAAAGATTTTAAAGTCCAATGTATATCAAAGTTTGGAAAAGTTTTATGGAGTGTTTCTTATTCTGAGATGGAAGCTAAACTACAGCATCATGAGAGTGTACAACTCATGGGTCCAACAGCTGGTATTCCAATTACTGGAGACGAAAAAAATTTCCAGCTATCCTATACGAGAAGTGCTCCTGTTATCCGATTACATAATTATTTTGAGAAGCTGTTTCCGAGACTTGGTTTTATAGATGGAGCTTTGTATCTTCCGTTTCAAGATAGAAAACCAAATCAGTTGGCTCCTGGAAATGGGAATCCTTTGGCACTTCCGAGCAGCAAGGAGTCTGAAGAAATCCTCTCCCTTCCTCTGCCTGAGACAGTAATACCTCAGATCACAGATATTATTGATGGAAGCACTACACAAATAGGCTTCGGTAGCAGATTTTCTGGTTTGATTTTCCTAATATTCGGCGTTTGTGTTAGTATACTTTATGTTTGTGGCCTTCTCTTTCGCCAGTTAAGACAAAGCATGCGGATCAAGGAACCTTATGTATCTGAAGTGCCAATAGTGACATCCAAGAAGAAGAGGTCTAAGAAAAATGGGACTGTAAAGGCGAGTCACAAGAAGGAGAACGAGTATGTATCTGGAGGGAGCAAAGATCCCTCTTTTGAAGAGAACGAGAAGAAATTACTTATGACTTTTCCTGGCCTTGATAATAGTCCAGTAGAAGGATATAGGGTTGGCAAACTGTTTGTCTCCAACAAGGAGATTGCTAAAGGGAGCAATGGAACTGTTGTGCTTGAGGGATCCTATGAAGGTCGTCTTGTAGCGGTTAAGCGTCTAGTACAAACACATCATGATGTGGCTCAGAAGGAGATTTTGAATCTCATGGCCTCAGACAAACACCCAAATATTGTCCGCTGGTACGGGGTTGACCAAGATGAACACTTTATCTATATTTCATTGGAACGGTGTGCTTGTAGCTTAAACGATCTCATCTATGCATCCGCTGGACTGCTTGAGAGTCCAATGGCTTCAAGTAGTATACAGTTAATTCAGGTAAAGCCAATCCTTGAGAATGGCAAGGGAGTTGAGCTATGGAAGGAAAACGGACATCCTTCTCCTGTTTTGTTGAAGTTGATGAGGTTTGTTTAGTAACTCATTTTTTTGGCACTTCAATCAAAGGTTGCATACATCTTTCTGATCTTTGTATGTTTATGTTGCAGGGATATAGTTGCTGGTATAGTTCATTTGCACGATATTGGAATCGTACATCGAGATCTAAAGCCTCAAAATGTGTTGATTGTTAAGAGCTCATCTGTATGTGCAAAGCTATCAGATATGGGTATTAGCAAGCGGTTGCCAGCCGACACAAGTGCCTTAACTAGAAACTCAACTGGTAAGAATCTTGAAAACTTAGATGATACAATGGAAACAGAGAATGATATTTTTTTCATCTCGTAATTAATTATTGTTTCTAATGATAGGTTCTGGAAGTTCTGGGTGGCAAGCACCTGAGCAACTCCGCAATGAACGACAAACAAGAGCAGTAGATCTCTTCAGTTTAGGATGTGTACTCTTTTTCTGTATGACTGCAGGAAAAAATCCTTACGGAGACAATTTTGAGAGGGACATAAACATTTTGAATGATCGAAAAGATCTTTTCTTGATCGAGAGTCTTCNAGAAGCTGTTCATCTTCTCTCTGGTCTCCTGAACCCGGATCCTGACTTGAGGTAAAGAAATATGGATGACCCTTTTGGTTAATATTATTGTCATTGTCACTTGGAAAGTTATTTACCAAAACTAGCATTTGTACACACAAGTAACTTTCCATACCTCTGGGTTTATACGTTAGTATTAAGGTTTAGTTTTATTAATTCCCTGTATAGCTAGATTTGATGATTTTTATTTTCATGGTATCGGGAATCTTTCTTTAAGTTCGTCGGTTAGGGAACACTCATTTCTGCTAACAGGAGCTTTTTAAATATTTGGAAATGCAGACCGACAGCACAAGAAGTTCTGCATCATCCATTGTTCTGGAACTCTGACATGAGACTGTCTTTCCTCCGGGATGCAAGTGATAGGGTCGAATTGGAAAACCGAGAAGAAGGGTCACAGCTCTTGGCTGCACTTGAAAGCACAGCAGCGGTTACATTAAACGGCCGGTGGGATGAGAAGTTGGATAGCATATTCTTAGACAATATCGGGCGTTACAGGCGGTACAAGTTTGACAGCATCCGCGATTTACTACGGGTAATAAGAAACAAATTGAATCATTATAGGGAGCTTCCTAGAGAATTACAAGAACTACTTGGGACTGTACCTGAAGGGTTTGATAGGTACTTTTCAAGCAGGTTCCCAAAGCTGTTGATTCAGGTCTATACAGTTTTATATAATTACTGTAACAATGAAGAGTTCTTTTTCAAGTATTCTAAGACCACTGTATTTTAGGATTCTCTTCTTCTGTTGACTCTCTGTATAATGAATTTACTAATAAAGTTATAATTGACCTGTTCAAAGAAACATTTGTTGCTGATATATGTTATTGTAATTCGTATATTATGCTTAGCCATTTTACTAATGATTTTTATTGTCAAAACAAATACAAATATAGTAAGGTTGTTTTTCTGTCAACACAAAGTGTAGTAAGGTTGGCTAGCTACCGAACCTAGACCAACGACATATTTACTAAAAATTTAACTTTTTAGTTTAAGAATCTGATAGCTACTTTTTTATATAATAAGATTTTGCAATCTGGTCAAAAAAATTGTTTGCCTTTATAACATTTTTCATAAGGTACATGCATGAATCATCAAATATTTTCAATTTAATAAACGTGATGATATACATACCACTAGTAGTAAGTGATGATATCAACAAATATATTCTGTTTCAGAGGAAAATGTAGAATTATTTTATGCGATTATTATAGTACCGCAATATGATAAAAAGAAGTATCTAGAAATGTGGAATGGTTTATACGTAGCTTAAAGGACAATTTTAATTTATGACATTATTTGTTAGAAGAGTACTCCTTTGGGATGATATTAGTTGTTAGTATTTTATTAACTTGGAGGTAAAGTTTCATTAATTTGAAGGTAAAGTGTGCAAGTTGGTGACTTATAATCCTAAGCCGAGATTCAAACTAATCACCGAAACTCATATAAATCAGGATAATTTACCGGTTAAAAAATATTCAAATAGCCAAGTAAAATACGTGACCAATAATATGAATCTTCAACAAAACTATTCAATCACTTAATTGATAGTTGATTTCAAATTAAACTTGATTCATGAAAAATTATACATATACAAAGTTTAATTTGTTATAGATAAAAACTACTAAATATATTCGATTTAATACACCAAAAACTGAAAGGAGTTATATTGTTTTAAATAAGAAATTCCTTTTGTGAAAGTCACTTTGAATGGTATTAAACTAAAAATTCCTTTTGTGAAAGTCACTATGATTTGTATATAAACTAAAAACAAAACAGATGGAATATATTACTCCAGAATATATGTAAAAAAAGTAATAAACTGACAACACATCAAAATTGGGACAAAAGATGAGATCAGGTTGTAACTGAATCAAGTCAAACATATGCACTTAAAACCAAACCCACTCATTCCAAATTCTCTGT